AAATAGAGCAAAATAAGGCAATTGTGTTGTTGTCAGACAATATAAGTCACTTAATATTAACTTCTTGTTTAATGAACTGTTGTATTAAATCAATATCACATTTGCAAACTCCCTTAATAATCATTAAAAGCTGTCACTCATCTTAGTTCATCACAATCTCACAAAACTCCATTATAATCGACTAAGCTCCCTACACTGCACAAAGAATCTCTTATTTACACCCTGTCAGCACTTTGTTATAATGAGAGGATACATCTGTGATACATTACTCAATGCTGCAGAAACACGTAAGTACGTTAGAACCTTTGAAGCTCCCTCAGCGCAAACACAAATATGCTGATCGGGTCAGTCGCACTGGTGCTCCTAAATATTATTTCATAGTCGCACGCAGTAGTTTTCAGTCACAATGGTCGCACTGTAGAGCCCTGCAGTCAGGCAGGGGCTACTTCAGGCAGTAGCTCAGGCGGTCTGAGGGTGACAGTGATGGCAAACTGTCCAGGGAACTAGCCCTCGGGGGGACCATCACTCCTCTTGCACTCTGCAACCAGTCGAGCTGCCAAAGGAATGTGCTGAGCCCTCTACAAGGAGCATACCAGCAGTATCCTTCGGCGCTCCTTTTGATGATCGGATGTCAATCGCTGCATCGGAGGGTGAGCCGGAGCTTTTTGGATAGGAAGATTCGGCTGAATCGGATCCAGAAATGACGGCAATGCTTTTCCGGGCTGCCGAGAGGGTAGGGCTTGAGTGAAGATCTCCACCGAGTCCCGAGCCCTCGAGGTTGGACGATTGGTTTCTCGGGGTGGCCCGTGCTGGTTCTCAGTGCCCTGCCCTGGTGCCTGTCTTCCCAGATGTGCATGAAGAGCTTACCAGGTCGTGGATGGCACCTTTTACTGCCAGAAACCGTCCTGCTAACTCCTTTGCCCAGCAGTTCTTTGCTGCACAGAAGCAGACTGAGGCGATTTGTCACATCCTGCCCCGGCGGGCAGCTGCTGCCTCCACCCGTCGGCCGGCCGCAGCGCCCCAGCCTGCTTGTCGCCGAGGACAGCCCCCTGCGTCCGCCCCCGCTCCCACGCCGCATCCGCAGCAGCCTCCAGCCAAGCAGCGCCGTGGAGCCGGGCATAGGCAGGCCGTCCCGCCCGTCCAGGGGTCTCATTTATAAAACTCTCCGTAGATTTCATCCTAAAAGTGTACGTACTCACAAAAGCTAGATTTTGCGTATGCACAAAAGTTTTCAGATTTATAAAACCATGCGTATGCCAGAACCTGCACAAAAATCCCTTTATAAACCCCAGTCAGGGGAAGATTGTGCGTACGTGCATCTCCACCCCGTCTCCTCCTCGAAATCACCATATATGGAGCTTACAACGCCT